TTAAGTCTTCTTCACTTTCAGTAAGCAAGGTTGTATCATCTACATATCGCACACCATAGATATGCTAAAAACATTGAATCATTGTGATTATTTTTCAATAGATTCAAGAAGCAATGTTGCAGAAACAGCAGTCAGGAGGGTTTCATAGGTCCAACACGCTAAGAAGGAGTCCTGGTGTGCCGCTGTGGGCTAATGGGTCAGACTACAAAGTCATTTGAATTGCAAGGTGGATGGTTCAAGCTCACCAGCTGCTCCTTGAAAACCCTATACAGGGTCGCTATGGGTCGGAATCGACTCAAGGGCACTTAACAAAAACAACAACAGGCTAAGGAAAAGAAAGAACATGAAGATTAATATCCTTTATCTATGTGTTTTGCCAAAAGTAGGAGCTGCCTGGGCTGAGATTCTTAGGCCCTTTTCATGAACACCTGTGAAACTACCTTTCCTGAGTGCAAAATACCTCTTTCTGCTCTCACATTGACGGGCATATCAAAATTGTGTCTGAATTGTGTCAGGTACTCAAGGTGGCATTTGACTCTAAAACTGGAAGATGGAGTTAGAGTGCTGTTTTAGGCCTTTAGTATTCAGGCCCTGAAGAATCACTTAAATTTAGTATATGACTTCATCATTTTACTTTAATCTTCATGTCCCAAGATAATGTCTGGCCAACCTCCACCTTCACATCTGTGTTTTAAGTAAGAAAGTAGGAAAGAGAAGAAGGTGCGCTGGTAGCGCTCTGGTAGCATAGAGCTTACGAATCAGCCTGCTAACCTCAGGGCCAGTAATTCGAAACTACCAGCTGTTCTATGGGAGAAAGATGAGGCTTTCTGCTCCCATAAAGATTTCCAGCCTCGGAAACCCTCTACAGGGTTGCTATGAGTTGGAACTAACTCCATGGCACATAACAACAACAACAGGAAAGAAAAGAAGTGGTACCAGTAGGTTTGCACTTATATTCATGTTATATGGCTCACATCACTGCAAAAGATGCTAGGGAATAAGCATGGTTGGCAAGTACATGATGTTGTTAAGTGCCAACGAGTCGGTTCTGACTCATAGCATGACCCTATATAGGGTTTCTGAGGCGTATACTAGTGGGTCTGAACTACCAACCTTGTGGTTCAAACTGACCTTATGGTCCAGTGCTTATCCTATAGCACCACACCAGGACTCCTAGTACATGATGTTGTCATTGTTAAGTGCCATCAAGTTGGTTCCGACCAAGGTGAAATTGAACCACCAACCTTGCAGTTCAAACCAACTTTGCAGCCTAGCACATTAACCCACAGGGTCACACCAATAGCAAATGAAGATGGGGTCAATTAATCTAAAGTCTCTACCATACCATACATAGTTTACTTTTACAAAACTGCGCTTCCAGTTTCTCTTTGCTTAAACTTTAGGGCAGCCTTAGTTCTTTTAGATTCATTGCAATTAAATATGATGGTGAATGAATTTGTCAGTATGTCTCAAATTTTTCCTAGGAAAAGCATTATCAGGATTCTGAATTTGTTATTGAAAACTTGATAGTCGCTTCATTAGATCTGTTTGGAGCTGGGACAGAGACAACAAGCACCACCCTGAGATACGGCCTTCTACTTCTGATGAAGCACCCCGAGATCACAGGTATGACCACAGATGGTGGGCAGGGTGAAACGCGAAAGCAAGTTAACAATGTTGATGTAGCCAGTCTCTAATTTGATTTTCTTAGAGAAATTTCATTATTTAAATTTCTGTTCCACCAACTGTAATCTATGCAAATTCGATGAGGGGATAAAGTTGACACAACTTTGCACAATAGAAAAGAGAGAAATAGTGTGGGTTGTAGGTGCAATGTAGAGAGCCACAGGAGAGGATCTATTCCGGCCATTGTGTTTATTTTTTTCTTGGGGATGTATACCAAGTAGAGGTGTTGCTGGGTCATATGGTATTGGTATATGGACTCCTGTTGTGGCGCTGTAAGATCAACGCTGGACTGTGAACCACAATTCAAGTCCATCAACAGCTCTTTAAAAACCCTATACAGAGTTGCTATGAGTCAGAACTGACTTGACGGCACTTAACAACAACATAGTATTGATATTTTTTATATTTCCACTTTTTGATGAAGCATCATACTGTTTTCTACAATGGTCACATCATTTTACAGTCCCACCAGCAATGCAGGATGGTCCCAGTCTTTCCACAACTTTGCCAGCCTTTGTTGTTTACTGATTTTTTTTTTTACTTTGCTATTAATGCTGGGATGAGATGATATCTCATTGTTTTCTTTTGATTTTGCATCTTTCTAATGGATAATGAAGGAGCTCTGGCAGCATAGCGGTTATGAGTTGGGCTGCTAACCTCAAGGTCAGATTTTTCCCAAAGTATTTCATCTTTTGAGTGGCTATTATAAATGGTATTGTTTTTCTAATTTCCTAGTCTGAGCTGTCTTTATTAGTACAGAGGAGTCCAACTGATTTTTGTATGTTGATCTTATACCCTGCCATTTTACTGAGTCTTTCAACGAGTTCCAATAATTTTCTTGCTGAGTCTTTCGTAGTTCCTGTGCATAGGGTCATATCTTCTGCAAATAGAGAATTGTATTTCTTCTTTGCCAGTTTGCATGCCTTCAGTTTCCCTATATTACCTCACAGCTCTGGCTAAGACTTCCAACAGAATATTGAGTAGGAGTGGTAATAAAGGGCATCTTTGACTGGTTCCTGTGCTAAGGGAATGCTTTCAGTTTCTCTCCATTGAGAATAATTCTGTCTGTTGGATTTGTGTATATGCTCTTAATTATGTTCACGATTTTCCCATCGATTTCTACTTTGTTGAGTGTTTTTATCATGAAAGGATGTTGGATTATATCAAATGCCTCTTCTGCATTAATCCATATGATCATGTGGTTTTTTTCTTTTTTGTTTTTAAATATGGATTGTTTTTCTAATATTGGACCATTCTTGCATTCCTGTATGGAATCTTGCTTATGATGTATTCTTATATATATGTGTGTGTGTGTGTGTGTCTATATATATATATATATA